AGGGTGATTCTAGTGGGGATGATTAACAATCAATAAACTAACCAATAAATAAAACAATTTCAGATAATAACTGGAATGAAGATTATGAAAAAGGTAAGGAGAGGGCTATGGAATGCAGAGAGGTTGCAGTGACATGTAGGAGTAGAAGCAGAATCTGGATTGTAAAAGGTTAGGCAGACTTTTTTGGAAAGAAATCTAGTTTTTAAAGAGGAAATAATTTTTTTTTAAATTTAGGAAATGGAAAGCCATGTTTCAGGGTTGAGAGGGAGGAACAAACTATTTTTAGGTTAAAGAGAAGACACTGACGGAGAAGGGGAATATCAAGGTAGAGGAGACAGGGTCTAGGGGGCCAGGGGATTGATGGCGCAGCTTCTGAGACACAAAGAAAGGAGGCGAGGGTGGGGTCAGGGGAGATGTTTCTAGGTATGAGCTAAAGGACCGGTACGATGACAACTTTCTTTGTGAAGTAAGAGGCCAAGTTTTCTTCCAGGGCAGGGAAAAGGCGACTAGTGGAGTTGCAGGGGTGGAAGGCCGGGGAGAGTGCTGCTGGGAATGGGAGGGAATGGGAATGGGAATGGGAGTGGGCCCTGAGCAGTCACATCGGGGATAAACTCTGCCTCTGAAGACCCGGCTACTGTGAGGTTGGAGACCGCTTGTCCTACTCGTGATTTTTTTTTCCCTCCAGCAGCCTCTGACCAGTCAGGGATCTGAGTGCCGAAGGTGAGTGGTAGGTGTTGGAGTAGTGGGCTAGCAGGGAGGTATGCCAGAACGGTGGCGGTAGGGCCAGAGAGCAAAGAGTTTGAAGGTCGGCCAGAAAGAGGTTGAACCTAAGCTGGCTAGAGAAGGAACAGAGCCAGCCTCTGGTGATGGGCAGGACAGAAGGGGAGGAGAATGAAGCAAGCAGCACCGTGGATGGGCAGGAGAGATTATGATCAGAGAGTAGGATATTGGAGTGTAAACTTTCAGAAGTGGAGCAGTCACAGGTGTTGTAACTGTATCTGTTAGTGTTTCCGAGAGGGGTGTTTGAAGGCAGGAAGTCAGGGAATTAAAGGCAGGAAGTCAGGGAACTGAAACTCACGTTGTTGAAAATGTTCAAGATGATGGGACCTGAGGTAGGAAGGAAAACTGTGAGTCCAACGCCTGCCTACCCTGCAAAGCATCGTGTAGGCTGGGCCCAGTGGTGCGCCTGTACTCCCAGCTGCTTGGGAGGCTGAAGCCAGGGGATTGCTTGAGCCCAGGAGTTGAGGCCACAGCCTGGGCAACACAGTGAAACCCCATCTCTAAAAAATAAATAAATAAATAAATAAATAAAAATAGGGGCAATGAAGCTGAGAGCCAGGGAATTCAAGTGAATTGCTCAAGGTCACAGTTTATTTAATAATGAGATAATACGCTTATTAAAGGCATGTACTCATAGAAGTCTGATCTGGGGTGCTTGGCAGGGCTTCTCTTCTCTCTGGCAGCACCTTAAGGAGTCACAACATTCCGGAGTCTGGTCTTTCTCGTTTCAGGGCTCAGTGTTGGATGTTCTTAGTATACCCAGAGATGTCATGTCTTTGACAGACTTGCTATTTGGTAAATAAACCAGGACACTAACACTCTAGCATATAATAGAGGAAATCCTTTCCCAGTGACTGGAATGCTTGACATCCTTCCCAGGACTCCTCTCAGAAGTTGCAGGGTTAGTTAACATGGGCTCAAACTAAGGAAAGTCAGGTAAACTGGGTGGGGATTATCCCACCTCCAATGGCAGGGGGCAGCTTATGAGCATTTGGGCTTTTATTCTCCCAGTGGAGTCTCTCTCCTTTGATAATGTTAGAGAGATGCTGACCACTTTTACCCTTCTCCTGTGTGCTCCGCGTATCTCCTTACCTTAATTTTTT